TGTAAAAATATTAGCATGGTTACTTGTAGTTTGCAATTTCTAAACAATGCAGAGAGGAACTGAATGCATTTCACACCCTGCCAGACATTGTGGGTAGGTTATTTCTAAATAGAAACGAACTGTTCTCAGCCGGAGGCCAGGAATTTAGTGGCACCTGAAGAATCCATAAACACAGAATATGATGATGAATGGAGCTATGGGACAAGCAGCAATCTAATGCTTTTCTGCTCACTCCGTAATGTGATTTGACATTGAGCATGAGCCTTGGCTATGATCAATGATTAATTTGGAACAATATGGGAAGCTGTCATCTCATTAAGAATATCTAAACAGGCCAAACCATGTTCCACTCCTTAACCAAATAACCATCTAAAAGAACAGTTCTTTGCTTCAGTCACTGTGTAACTGTAAGGATTAATAATAAATCCAGAGTTTTAGTTCTCAAAGGAAATACATCTGAGATGCCTGCCAGTCTACGCCCATTTGAAAATCCCAGCTATCAAGCTTCAACCCAATCAACCCATCCATAAAGCATTCTCAGGGAACGTTCACTTTAGGCCCGGATCCCATATTGTCAAAACCAGGCCTCCCAACATCTTGATGTATCAGTAACATGATTATATTAGTGCCACATGCTAAAAGGCAAGACAAAACTTGGAGAACCACAAAAGACTGGGCTTCAATCATGAAACTCAAGCAGAGCGAATTGTAAATCACCTGTAAATCCATTCTTATGTAAATTGTTGCATTCAGTTTAGCTCAATAATTTTGGTAGGAATTCTTTGACAAACAATTTACAGAAAAATGTGTTCTGCTCATGTTTCATGAATTAGGCCAACTGAATGCACAAAGTTTTCATCAGGAGTGGGCTTCAGTATTGTGTAATAGATTCGGTTTGATGATGATATTTGTTGATCTTTCTCTGTTGATGAGACCAGACATGGCTAACTAGTTACATTCTGGATGCACACACACACACACACACACACTGGGAGACTGGAAAGACGCTGTAGATGTTGAGACGAGCACCTCAGGCACTGGCTGGCTTTAGTAAAGATCAGCTATCTCCGTATTGACTGGTGAGTATCAGATACACACTCGCATCTATTTTCCCACACACTAGAACCACTGTTCATGATAGTGAGATTTGTGGAAATGCTGCTTGGAGAGCGTAATTATGGGATTTATTTTCTTTTTTTAAATCAAGTGCCCTGTCAACAATCCGGACCAATTCATTGGATATACTTCAACTGAGTCAGGCTTTGGATGGATTGTGCTGCTGACCTTTAAAATGTATTTTCTTTCTCTCTCATTTGTCTTTATTATACAGCCCTCTTATTCTTATTCTGCAGTACTCCACATATGTGGTGAATTCAACCTGTTCTCATTTCTGTTAAATGTTAAAAGTTTATTGGAAACTGATTCAAACTTAAACTGATAATGTGACTTTTGTGACAATTCAGGCTGGTTGCAAAGAGACTGTTAAAGAGTAATTTATTCTCAAAATGGACATTGTGTTCTGATTCCTAATGGCTGTACACACAAGTCTTTATTCCTAACATTTGTCAATAAAATTGTAACAAGGTAGTATTTCACAACCTTACCGTGCTAATTAATGAAGCTTTGCTACTGAAAAGCCGAATTATTTAGAAAACAGCCACACTACCACCTGAGAAATTTAGTTAAACTAATACCCAGATAGCACAGGTACGTCTGCAAGATTTCTGTTAAAGATCGCTTCATCTGGAAAGTATCTGCTGTGTACAAACATCTGATAGTCATCTTTCAGATGTCAGTTTTACATACATTCTAAATCATAAACATATTAAAGACATTTTCTAAACGTCTATTTGACATCTGATAAGAAACATCCTATAGACGTGTTGCAGATGAGCAAATACTCTAAAAAAAATATGTCTTGCCGATGTAAATGCAGACGTCAAATAGACATCTCTGTGATGTAAGTGTGCTATCGGGGTACCTTTGCTACTTTTAACAATGCTAATGTTTATGTTTGGTGGAAACAACTTGCTTACACTTTTAAAGCAATGTGAACATGCAACCGTATAAGTTAGCTAACTAGCTGTTTAGCTTGCTTCATGCTTGTTAGCATAGCTTACGCAAGAGTAGTCATTATATATCCTAAAAAAATATGTCTTGCCGATGTAAATGCAGACGTCAAATAGACATCTCTGTGATGTACGTGTGCTATCGGGGTACCTTTGCTACTTTTAACAATGCTAATGTTTATGTTTGGTGGAAACAACTTGCTTACACTTTTAAAGCAATGTGAACATGCAACCGTATAAGTTAGCTAACTAGCTGTTTAGCTTGCTTCATGCTTGTTAGCATAGCTTACGCAAGAGTAGTCATTATATATCCAACTGTTAGCTACAGAAACCATAGGGAAATTAATGAACTAGTAATAGTTATTACATTTATTTACTTATTTAGAAGACATTTTTACCAAAAGCAACACAGAACTGAGGAATACAACATTAGCAATTAATCTTGTTACAGATGCAAACAATACTCTGAAAAGCTGTGTTTTGGATGCTAGTTCCCTTTCAGTCAGTCACTCTCGACGTCACGTCGGTGACCAACGAATTGGGATCTCACTTAGAGAGACCAATTCACTTCGAGTGTAAACTAAATGAGTCAATGCATATTGGCATGCAATGATTGCATCCAGCTGCCGCTGATCACAGCGTGAGCATAAAAAGGCAGCCAGTTCAACGCATACCAGCTTTTTGCTTCCACCTTACACGCTATAGCATTACTGCAGGTTCATCAGGCCAAGGCACTGAAGGACCTGCACAAGGGTGGTCACGATCCGAAAGTTCTGAAAGAGCTCCGAACTGCTACTGACCTCGCACTCCGAGCGACGAAGGTCACCGCGAGTTCTCTGGGTCGTGCGATGTCCACACTTGTGGTCCAGGAGCGCCTTCTCTGGCTGTGTCTGGCCGACATGAGGGACGCCGACAAAGTACGGTTCCTCAATGCCCCTGTGCCCCTGTGCCCCAGACCAGCCTCTTCGGCGTGTAGGTCGAGAGCATTGCCTGGCAGTTCTCGGCTGCACAGAAGCATACTGAGGCGATTCGTCACATCCTGCCCCGGTGGGCAGCTGCTGCCTCCACCTGTCCACCGGCCTCAGCGCCCCAGCCTGCTCGTCGCCGAGGGCAGCCCCCTGCGTCAACCCCCGCTCCCATGCCGCATCTGCAGCTGCCACGAGCAAGCGGCGCAGTGGAGCTGGGCGTAGGCAGGACCCAGAGAGAGAGGGAACTGCTCTTTGGAGGATGGTGAATGCATCTCTCCCTCCCCCAGAGGAGGGCCGGGTGGAGAATCTGGTTTCCAAAAATCTCGATGAGAGAGAGGTTTTCTCTGTCTCTGGGTCCCAAGAGGACACGGAGATTTGCAGACGGACCAACACCGGACCACACTCATCCTCCTCTCTCGTCAGCAGGCAGCAACGGGTGGTTCGAGAGCGTCGTCAAAGGCCCTACTCACGCACCCTCTGCCAAATCGTGGAACCAGGTAAGCATTGCACCGCACACTCAGACCCCACTTCGTTCCGCCCACGAGCCACCCGAGTTGGGTCCCTGCGTTCCACCTCGCTGCCCCACTGCGGGTAC